TAATTTTTTCCAAGTTTTTCCATTTCCTAACAAATGTGGCAATGTCATTCTTTCTGATGGAGGCATAGAATTCCATTGTGTATATATACAGTTTTAATTTTTTTATAATTTTTATTCCTCTTATTACTTATTCTGTACTTTATTTTAGATTTATAAGAAGTTTGAATTTCTCCATTTTCCTATTTCTTGTTTCATCTACTTATATCCTAGTTCTATCTCTCCATCTAGTCCATACTTCTGGCTAGAGGTAAAAAGCTTTTCAAGTGTTGTTTAGATATTAGGATGTAGTATCAGAAAAACAAAGAAGAACAAAAAACCACCTAACCTACAAATTTTCTTTTCAGGTTATTTTCCTTCAAAAAATAAAATATGTCCTATCAAAATTGAGAGAGAGGGGAGAGAAAGAGAAAGAGAGGAAAAATAAGAAATCAGAAGATATTTCTCTTATTAATTTCTTATCTAGTGGACTTACGAGACTCAAAAATCCTATTTCACTATAAATTCTCAATATCTGTTACATCAACAGAGTAGACAGTTTAAAACATTTCACACAATAGCTTCGATACAGCTTCTAGGTCTTTTTCCTTTTCTTCTGTTGTGAAATTTAAAAAGTAAGACTCAACATGGACAAGAACTTTCTAAACATAAAAGCAAGCAAAAAGAATAAGTAAAAAAAAATAATAAAGGGCTGGGAAGGTAGCTCAGTGGTAGAACACTTGCCTTGCATGCGTGAGGCCCTAGGGTTTGATTCCTCAGCACCACATAATCAGAAAGAAAAACAAAAAAGGCGGAAAGTGGCGCTGTGGCTCAACTGGTAGCGTGCTAGCTGTGAGCTAAAGAGCTGAGGGACAGCGCCCAGGCCCAGAGTTCAGGCCCACGACCAACCAAAAAAAAAAAGAAGAATTAGAAAAAATAACTGCATAAACATGATCCTTCAAATATGTGTGCAGAAGGTTAGCCTTCACCTCCAGAGACAAAACTGACTTAATTGTTGGAATCTCTTCTGTGAAATGATTCTTTTGCTCCCTGTTCCAGGTGTCTATGAACTGGCTACTTTTCAGATGAAACCGGGAGGCCCAGCGCTGTGGGGGGATGCGTTTAAAAGGACAATTAATGCTCATGTCAATCTAGGCTATGCTAAACTCATTGGTGTTTTCCACACTGAATATGGAGCGCTCAACAGAGGTACATTTCTATGAAATTGTGTGCTAGTTCAGTTTTCTCTCTTTTTTGCATTATATCTTTTCATTATTACTGAAAATTTTTGAGGTTTCTTTGCAACATCGAGATTTGACAAAACTAATTTATAGCTGTTTCATTTTTAGAATATTAATACTTTCTATAGTCTATTTCAAATTCTGAAGTTCTATTTAGACACAGAAACTAAGAAAATATTATTTCTAATCTCTTTTTTCTTCTTAAATACACTTTCCTTGATTTTCCCCCCAAAAATACTATTACTTGAGTTAGAGGGATAACTTATGAATGAAACTGTACTATATGCTAAAAATATATGGAAATCCAAGTGAACAAAAGTTACCCATTACTACTAGTAATGCTGCACATATATAAATAACAAAGGAATACAGATATACAAAGACTAGAAACAATTTATATGCATAGATACTATCATCTATACCACCCTGTATGAATGAATAGGCTGGTTAGATAGATATGTACATACATACTTTAATTTTTAATTAAATATATTTAGATACATACATACATTAATTTTTAATTAAATATATTTGGAGCACTTAACTATTAAAATGGAAAGAAATTATAGTAAGAATTTCTGAGGTTTTGTGCCAAATTCTTTTAAAAACTTGTATGATGTTTATCTAGGATAAATGATTAGGAAGAGCTACTAAAATACTTGAAAGAGTCATTGTATCCATTTATTTCCTCAACTTCCCTACCTGAATGTTCAACAGAGATCCAAGCCTGACACATGCAAATAACTCATCTTCTTCTGGTACTGAGATTTAAACTCAGGGCCTTACACTTGCTTTGATTGCTGGCTTTGCCATTTGAGCCACATATCTACCTTTGCTTTTGCTGGTTAATTTTGCAGATGGAGTCTTGTGGACTTTTCTGTCTGGGATGGCTTCAAACCATGATCCTTTGACTCCCAACCCCCTCACTAGCTAGATTTATAGTCCTGGGCTACTGGCACCTAGCCAGGCTCCTGATCTTTATCCAGAAATTATGTCTTAGCCATTTAATCAAAGAAAATCATTAGAATATATAAGCAATGTATTTTCAAGATAAAAGGTAAAGAAGAGAAAAATATTTGATGTTTATGTCATGCTAAAATAAAATTAAAATGCATTATGGATTCAGTGAGTAAAAACATGCAGTTGTGCAATTGTTAGGATATTTGTGAACCTACATAATAGCATACATGAAGGTAAGCCAAAATTAAACTATTGAAAATATTAATTTGATGATCTTATTATATAAAAGCTCAACTATCACACACCCCAAATCACTATTATGTGAACTTCAAAGCAAAAGGAAAACTGAGTCTTTATACAAAAAAAAGTATAGGTAGCTATTAATGTATCTTAAGGAAGATGCAGGTTAATGCAATAATTAAATAACATTTTTATGTAGTTTACGTGTAGCTAAATAGGTATAATGTTAAGTCAGAAGCCGGGCTCTGGTGGCTCATGCCTGTAATCCTAGCTACTCAGGAGGCTGAGATCTGAGGATTGCAGTTCAAAGCCAGCCCGGGCAGGAAAGTCCATGAGACACATCTCCAATAAACCACTAGAAAACCAGAAGTGGTAGTGTGGCTCAAGTGGTAGAGCGCTCACCTTGAGCTGAAGAGCTGAGGGACAGCGCCCAGGCCCAGATTTCAAGCTCTATAACCGACAGAAAACAAAAAACAAGTTGTCCAGAAAAAAAGTACTCATTTAGTGTTCACATTGGCTTAATTTTCCCTTCCAAAAATTTGACAATATAAACAAAAAGCTTTTATTTTTGTTGTCCTTGTCAAAATTACTTCTAGGAAATATTCATGAATGTGTAGCATTAGCTTGCACAGGAAAGAAATTTCCAAGAAAAACTGGAGGCCTGGCTGTATTGATAGAGCACTAGCTTAGCAAGTACAGGCCCACACATGCAAGCACACACATGCACAAAAGACATTTGAAATAATGTAAAATATAAAGTAGACACATTTGAATTACAAAATTAAAGGTTTTGAAAGTTTCTATCTTAATTTTTCCAGAATGAAGATACAGATAGATGTATCTATAGATATTTTTATAAGAAAAACATACCAAAAATGTGGGTAGACTTTTTGAACATAAATTTATTCTCAATACAAAAATGATACTATGCAGAGGATACATTGTCTGAGTTTGAATCCAATTCCCTCACTTCATAACTTCGTAAACTTTGGGTAACTTACTTTAGCTTCATTAAACTTTAGTAACCTCACTCATAAAACTGGAAATAGTAACCTACCACCTACGCTATCAGGAGGCTCAAATAAATTAACACATGAAGAATACTTAAAGCTAGGCCTAGGACATAGTAACTCCCCAGTAAATGTTCCTAGTCACTGTAGATGCTGCTGTATTGAAGTGTATGTCAGCTTTGTTTATAATAAGAAAATACTAGAAACAATGTGGCAGGACCCCATTTGAGTAATGTATACACTCACAATGCACAGGTAGAAATATGTATGCCTCTTGTGCATCCTGTATTTTATGTAAGCAGCCACACATACACTGTGTGGGTATAAATATATAAACATAAAAAATACACATTTTCTAGCTGGGTGCCGGTGGCTCATGCCTGTAATCCTAGCTACTCAGGAGGCTGAGATCTGGGGATCACGGTTCAAAGCCAGCCTGGGCAGAAAAAAGTCGGTGAGACGCTTATCTCCAATAAACCACTCAGAAAACTGGAAGTGGTGCTGTGGCTCAAGTAGTAGAAGAGCGCTAGCCTTGAGTTGTAGAGCTGAGTGTCAGCACCCAGGCCCAGAGTTCAAGGCCCACGGCCTACAAAAAAAAAAAAAAGATAAAGATATATATATATATATATATATATATATATATATATATATATACACACACACACATATATATACATTTTCTCTCTATATAAGCATACATACTATGAGAGTATAGATGTATAAACATAAGTACACATATCAATATATAAATATGGAAACAACACAACAAAATAGAAAAACATGGTTATTTGAGGGTAATAAAATTAGAATTGTCTCTTACTTTTTTATGTATTTTCTACAACCTTTTTGGCTAGCATCATAAATTTTAATTATTAAAAAATGTAAGTATATATAAAAGCATATTGGGAATAATATGCATTACCAGCAATAAAGTGCTAGAAGAAAAGATATTATGTAGATAAGAACAAATTCATATAACCATTTAAAAAATAGTGTTATTGCTAGGCACCCGTGGCTCAGGCCTAGAGTCCTACCTTCTCAGAAGGCTGAGATCTGAGGATCCTGACTTGAAACCAGCCCAGGCAGGAAAGTCTATGAGACTTTTTTTTTTTTGTTCGGTTATGGGGCTAGAACTCTGAGCCTAGGCACTGTACCTGCACTCTTGAGCTCAAGGTGAGCTCTCTATGGCTTGAGCCACAGTGCCACTTCCAGTTTTCTAGTGGTTTATTTAGAGATAAGAGTCTCACAGACTTTCCTGCCTGGGCTGTCTTTGAACCGCAATCCTCAGATCTCAGCTTCCTGAGTAGCTAGGATTACAGGTAAGAGCCACTGGCACCTGACTAAGCATAAATCTTCCTTTTTTTTTTTTTGGTGGGGCTTGGGGCTTGAACTCTAGGCTTGGGAGCTGTCCCTGTGCTCTTCAGCTCAAGGCGAGCACTCTACTACTTGAGCCACAGTGCCATTTCCTCTATGAGACTCTTTTCTCCAATTAACTACCAAAAGGCATAAAGTGGAGTGGAGCAGAGGCCCAAGTGGTAGAGTGCTAGCCCTGAGCAAAAAGAGCTCTGGAACAGTGCTCAGACCCTCAGTTGTAGTTCCAGGACCAGAACACACACACACATACACACAGACATGCACACATGTACATGTACACACACACACACATGTAACATTATCAGCATCTCATGAAATTCCATTAATATGTACAAGGTTAATGTTTATATGTATTAGTTAAAAAATAACATTAACAGAATATTATCACATTGATGATATTTAACTGGTAGTAAGCATAATGTGTAGTAAGAACATGATTTGGTTTAGTCATTTCTTTTAAAGGAAAAATGTTATATATTAACAAAGAGTGAAGATAAGCTTTTGGTTTTCTACATTAATTTCCTATGGAAAACAAAACTTTTTAATAATCTACTGTTTTAATGAGGCAGTCTAGAAGGAAGTAATGAAATGTGCACCTCATCTTAATTTTGTTTTAGCTATTTTATATTACTTCCCCTCAGCTTTTGGTTTCATTTGATTAATGTACACAATTTTTTCCCAAAGTTCTGACCCCATATTTAAAAACTAAACACAATGCTAGGCCAGGTGTCTGTGGCTCACTCCTATTATCCTCGCTACTCAGGAGGCTGAGATACAAGAAGTATGGTTCAAAGCCAGCCCAGGCAGGTGAGTCTGTGAGACTCTATCTCCAATTAAGCATCACAAATGCTAGAAGTGGAGCTGTGGCTCAAGTGGTAGGACCTTAGCTCAGGGACAGTGCCCAGGCCCTGAGTTCAAGCCCCAGGACCAGCACACACACAAACACAAACACAATTATAAAGAAATTGATCTAAAAATAAGGTGTATTTGTGCAGTTCACGTTCTTTGGTGGAATGAGAACGCGGATAGTCGTGCTGCAGGGAGACACCAGTCTCACGAGGACCCCCGGGTGGTGGCTGCTGGTAAGTTATTTCACTAGGCATAGATTGTTTTTAGAACAAATCTGTTTCAGCCAGTAACTTTATGTGCCTTTTCTGGAATGTTTTTCCAGTTCGGGAAAGCGTCAACTACCTGGAGACTCAGCAGAATATGCTTCTGATACCTACATCATTTTCACCATTGAAATAGTTTTCTATCTAAATACCAAGCATTACATTAACCTGACATTAAGATGTGTCTGTGAATGGTGCTTAAGCTCTCCCAAGAGGATTGTTTTCCCTATGATCTGAAGGAGGTAGTAAGTAAAGTCACTGGGGTCCTTCCATTTTTTTAAAGCCCCCAGTCACTTCAGGGAACAGCTGTGATCATTTCCCCCTGTATCTGTTGTACATTAGAAATGATTCTCTTCTCCTGTGATACTTTGTACTTGATCATCCTTTATGTCATTTTCTATATTCAAATAGTGATTTTTACCTTCTTTTGCCTGGCAATATTTTAAAATTATTTACATGCAGTATCTTTTCATCAGCTTTATTTTTCTGAGATTTCCATCCAAGTGTTGGACCAAGTACATTACTTTGGAAAAAGTGTATTCTCATATGTATCATCTGTATTCATTATGGTTTTCACTTTAATAACTACATTAACTACATAACTTGGATCTTTTGTAATTAGATCACTGCATTAAAAATCTAGAGAAGACTTGACTTGCTTGCTGAAGTATGTTCATTTACAATTTAATAATTTTGACTTCCCCATGGGCCACTCACAAAGTTCCTGAGACATTTGTGTTTAACAGATCTGTGTGACTGTGGAAATGCCCTAACAAAAACAGCCATCTCTACTATGATAGTTCATGGGAAATATTTCATATTTCATTTTTATATTCTCTTTTGTAGAGATCTTACTGTCTTGCTGTAGTGACACTGTGATAATTTGCCGGCTTTATGGTAAATGTCGAGTTATAGCATAAAAATAGCATGCTGGTAACCCCAGAAGGAAAATTTCTTTCATACTGATTCAGATGTTCTAGAATTTTCCTTGAAAGATCTTGATTCCCCAGTCTATTGAATTCCTCAACCTTCTAAAACTAGGTTTCATCCTCAGAGCTCCCTGGGGAGCATTAGTCAGGGAAGGCAGACACACACAGGCACAAGCTTCTGTGTTTTTTTCCATGCCTCTAAAGTTCAAAGAGTCTAGAGACATTTCACATTTATATGAAATATTTAGGAATTCAGTAACTCATTAACATATCGTGTTACCAAGGTTTCTCCTCAGGTTCTCCTTTGATTCAGGCAGGCCATGGAAAGATGTCCGGGCAAGGTGGAAGAGAAAGTCATGTTTATTCAAAGCTTTCTGTCCATAGATTCATCACTGGCATTAACAGCATCAGCAGTCCCTAGCATAACAGCACATCTTTCACCCAGCAACGACTCTCAGCACAGCATCACCAGCTTTGATCTGTTCACAGCTTCGCATTCTTTCTGCCGGCTGCAGCAAGCCGTCACCCTGACCTCCAATAGCAGCTGACTGTCCAGCAATGGCACCACCCCCTCACTTCCTCCTTGTCCTTCAGTGGTCCCTGTTTATGTCCTCTGTAGACAAAAGAGACATATGGCCAAGGATGGCTGCACAAGACCAACCATGTGCACCCAGGCTCGAGGCTCCATGGATGTGCTGAGACAGCTGAGTCCAGGCCTTGGGAAGTTCAGGCTCAAAGCCCTTCAGAAAGCAAGGAAAGTCTTACTTATTCCATTACCCTACACACACACACCCATACATTACCAATTCAGAATTCAGAGTTAATTAAGTTAAATTTTTAATGAACTCTAAAATACTACTGATGATTAACACTTTGCTTCAGAATGTAGCAGTGTCTTAGGCCTTTGAGCGTCAGAGGAAGAGGGCTTTCCTCTTAGATCTTTTTGATGATACATGAAGAAGCACAAGGCAGCTCCCCTTCATTTAACTCCTATGGCTTATTTCCATCGTTAGCTACAGCCAGAATCTGACAAGGATTTGCCTTCCAAGAGGTCTAATTTAAAGATGAAAGTAATTTATCTCTCCAGATTCATTTCTTAGCCTTCAGTTTTCTGTAATTGGTTTGTTCTTCCAGTCTCTCAGGTGATTCCCAACACCTGCTCCCCTATCGTCATTCCCAACTGATAAACTTTCCTCTTACTGCACTGAAAGATGAAAATAATCAGAAGAGACTTGGTGCAGAGGTTCATATCCCCGACTAAGTTCAAATTCATCTCCCCCGCCTTACCTCCTCCTGCTCTGCATGGTCAGAGCCAAGGAAGAATACCATCTCCCACATTCACTCTCACTTGCTGCAGGATGAGGCCACAATCGTTTTGTCTTCTAATGCTACACTTTCCCTCTCTTCTTCATCCTTCTCAGGAGGATTATCATTTTATTATTGTTTTGCTTTTATTTTCCCCATGGTGGGGATGGGGGGTGGGAGAGAGATTGGTGCATGCACACCAGCCTTGGGGCTTGAACTCAGGGCCATAGCATGCTTCCTTAGCTCTTTCACTCGAGGCTGATCTACCATTTGACCCACACCTTCACTACCAGCTGGTTTTGGTTTTGGTTTGTTTGTTGCTGGTTAACTTGAGATAAGGGGCTTTTCAATTGCCCTGACTCCCTGGAAGCTCACGCCAATAATCCCATCTACTCAGGAGGCTGAGATCTGAGGATTGTGTTTTAGAGCCAGCCAGGGTGGAAAAGTCCTTGAGACTCTTATCTCCAATAAAATACTCAAGAGGGCTGAGAAGGTGGCCCAGTGGTAGAGCTCTTGCCTTGCATGCCTGAGGCCCTGGGTTTGATTCCTCAACACCACATAAGCAAAAAGAAAAAAGCCGGAAGTGGTGCTGTGGCTCAAGTGGTAGAGCGCTAGCCTTGAGCTGAAGCGCTGAGGGACAGCACCCCAGCCCAGAGTTCAGGCCCCACGACCGGACCCCCCCAAAAAAATTAAAAATTAAAATAATAAAAAAATACTCAGAAAAAGCGAAAAGTATTCTGTGGTAGAGCGCTAGCCTTGAGCTACACAAAGAAATTCTGAGACAGCACCCGTGTCCTGGGTCAAGCCCCAGGACCAGTTTTGTTGTTCTTTTTTTTATCCAAAACCTCTCATTTTCTTATTTATTTATATGACTCAGAAGAAGTATATTTTCTTCCTACCTTAATCTCATCTCAACTTCCATTTAAACATTCTTTTAGCTCCATACTAGCCGAGCTGATCCTAAATCTGCTATCAATCTCTCCTTATTCTGGAACTATTTTCTTCATTTCTAACACTAACTGCATAAGCTCTCTCCCCCACGAATGCCTTCTAGTCTCTGCCTTGTCCCCTTGATCTCCAGTGAGGTAGCATCCCATGGCAGGTTCCTTGTGAGGCAAATGCTGAACAGGAATCTAGACACACTCAGAAGTCAAGAATCTTCTGCCCACAAAGTTCAGATCTGTGCCCCAGCAAAAGGGCTGATCAGGACTGTGGGATCACAGTGGAACCAGGACTCTCAAACCTCCTAAAAGGGACTGTTTCTCAGAACTTCTTAAGTTCCAAGATAAGCAGATGTCTTTTTGTGAGACCCATTCTGTTCTTGTTTTGTTGGTCTTGTTATTGTTTGTGCCAGTACTGGGGACTTGAACTCAGGGCCTACCTCTCTCGCTTGGCTGGCACTCTTAACCATTTGAGCCATAGCTCTGCACCTCCCTTTTTCATGGCTAACTGGAGATAATATTCTCATGGACTTTACTGTCAGACCAAGATCATCAGATTTCAACCTCCTGAATAGGACTACAGGCATGAGCCAAGTGTTTCTGCTATTTTTGTTGTTCTTGGTGGTACTGAGGTTTGATCTCAAGGCCTTGCCCTTTCTGGGCATATACTCAATGCACCATACCCTCAGTCCCTTTTGCTATGTTTTTTTTAATTTTTTGCTTTATTTTTTTACATTTTTTTCTTTGTATTTTTTTAAAAAAAACTTTTATCTTTATGTTTTGAAACCTCTATGTTTTATGCAGTACTGAGTTTGAACTCGGGGCCTTGTGTTTGCTCAACAACTACTCTGCATATAAAACTGACGAACTCAGTGTTAGTTATTTTTTAGTCTTGCTTTTTCTTTTCCTGGGTGAGTCTGGATGGCAACTCTATTTGTGTTTCCCAAGAAGGTGGGATGACAGGCACACAGCATCGTGTCTTCAGCCTTTTAATGGTTGAGATGAGATTACAGGTGTGACCCAGTGCTCCGAGAAGAAAAGAGCATCTCTATAGTCTCATCAGAGCACCATTTGTGCACTGCATAGCTCTTACCCCAGGAGCACAAGGAGACATCTCCAGTATGGGCTCAGTATGAGTTCCCTTCCCATATTTCCTACCTGTGCCTCTTCAGCCTTACCATCACTTTCAGCAAAAAACTCAGACATGCTATGCTATGCCTTGTATTTTGGAAAGACTGCCTTTTGGTAGCCTCCTCCAAGCCAGTTAAATATTTATAAAATAAATTTAACTGTTTATTTCCAGATGTCTCTATAGTATAATGATCAATAAGCAGAATAAATTCAACTAAAAAAAACCTCTTAAGCTTTCTTAACCCCAGTTATCTAGGATCTCGACTGAATCTCGACTGAAAGTACAGAATAGGCATTCATGTACTTTCAAGTCATCTCCTGAATTCCCTTGTAATTCAGAAGACATTTGAACCTTTTCTAAGACTTTTTCCCTCTGATTGAAACAGCTTTCCCCTCCAGGAGAGACCTTTGTTTCTTTTGTCATGGCTTTACAACCCTTTATCAGTAGATGGTGCTACAAGTGCACAAAAGCAGACTAGTATAGACGAACAGAAGTGTCACAGCTTTATTTTGTGACTCATTACAACATAGAAATATGCCTTTTTAATACGTCATATAAAGTCACTGACATACAAATGTTTTTTTCTAGTTTTTTTGTTCTTTTAATGAAAATGATTTAACTTAGAAATCTATTGTGAAACTTTTGTCTAGTTTTGCAATTCTCAGATATTCCAGTGCAAAAATAGATCCATTACAGACAGCATAAAGTGCTTGGAATGAAGGGCTGAGGGTAAAGAAAAAGCACAAAAACGGCTTCAACCTCAAGTTTAAGAAGAGATAAAAGCTTACCTAACCCTTATTGGGGAAATAAACATTCTAGAAAAAAAAGATACAGTGATTTTGGAAAAAAATTAGAGCAATGTTACTATGGTATTCCATTACTACTAGTAAATAGTAATAAGAGTACAAATTAATATCTCAGTATTAAAGTGGTTCACTATTACATGGCACAAAGCTCTTTGGAGAAGTTTTACCTGATATATACAACCATGAGAAGAAGAAAAAACAGACACCTCCCTTTAAGCAATGATTACTATACAGTGAATCAATGATGTTTAACATTTAATAGTCACAAAACATAGACTTTCCATACAGATATCAAAATACAGTAGTTTGAGGTTTGTTTGTGGTTTTTTAGTAAAGAATTATGCTGGGTTATTTACAGAGAGAGGACTTGCTATTTTCTTCTGTATTTTGCTTGTTCACAGTTAGTAAGTTTTCCAAGGTTCCCAAAAGATGTAAAAACAGAAAGTTCTAAATCCTTGAGAATTTCCAAAACTCACATGGTTGTACTTCCACAGGGAATATATAGAAAATTTATTCTCAGAATAGGATTGCTAAAAATTCTACCAAAATTAGGGTTACACAGGAAAAAATATAAAATATAGTTGGGTAGTCTAAAGGTAACAATATTAACAAAGTCAATGTCTAACTGTGGATTGTTTAATTTTTAAGTAACAGACATGTCTTTTAAAAAAAATGGCCTTAAAGTGAGAGGAATTAAATCAAGGAGTTGCTCATGGATTTTATTTAACAAAAAAGTATATAGGATAAGAAATGCAACAGAAGTTAGATTTTGAAAAATAGGAACAATTCAATTATCTTTGATGATGACAGAGACTATAGTGATCTCATCAATAGTTATTGGAAATACGCTTCCAATATCATTTTAGAAAACTATTCACAGTGATTTCTAAGTCATTGTTTCAAGCAATGAGTTAGATAAGAACATTCTGTAAATTTAAATTGAAGTAGATTGGAAATCTTCTACCTTTAGAGTTAATATTTAAACTTTAGAAAAAATTGAGGAAATCAGTATGATGTGGAGACCACTTGAACGCTGCCAAACAATAATCATCTTCTCATTTTTTAATTCTGTCTCAAAACAGGTGACATTCACATTAGTGCAGTCATATTTTTGAAGTGTTTTGTTGAACAAAAAAAAAAAGAAAGAAAAAGACTGTGTTAGAATAGTCTGAAAAACATTCCATGTGGCAGTCTTTTTATGTTTTTCATGTTAAGTTAGTGATTGAAGAGATGAAAATGTTGAGATTGTCAAGGATTTACTGGTGTGTCTCAATCCCGGCAGTGTCAATGATTTGAAGGTACTAATTGTCATAAGCACAAGTGGTGTTCAAGTTTACAACCAGTTATTTTTCCCTTGAAGAGTTCATTGTTTAGTCTTGTGAACCCATTCTTGGCTTTTGCATTGTTACTATTCAAAAAAATTAAAGTTCAGAGGCAGGGGTGATTAGACAGTATTCTCTTAGTGGGCTCCCAAAACAACAGTATTATTATTATTATTATTATTATCTGAAGACTGTGGCACAGAAAATCTACTGACAATTTCTCCTCATCCCTTCACATATCTATACTTGTTCAGTGATAACATATTCCCCCAAAATACTTGATTGACGGACTGAAATTAAAAGCATTCTAGGTGACCTGAAAGAAATTCAAATTCAAATATCATGCATGAGATTTTGCTCACGTTTTCTAGTCACTGGGCCCTAGTCAGACGTCTAATCCCCGAACTCTAGGAAAATCAAGCTAGCAAAGCAAGTTGGGTAGCCAGATTCCTTTACACCACAGGCTTGTACAAAGAGGCCCCTGAAAGGATTCAAAAGTCACTGAAGAAGTTGAAATGCCAAATGACATTCATAGTACAAAGATTTTTGTCAAAATACAACCTGTTTTCATTGTCTTGACTAATCAGACATACCACACTTGTGTCAAATTAAAAAAAAAAAAAAGGACCTGGAGATGCAGTGTACCGTGTTAGCAGACAAACAGGACAGACAGACATAAGCCTCCCTACACGTGAATGCAACATCTCTCTCATCCCTTGCTCTGACCTCAGTAGCTTGGTAGCTCCTGTAGTTGGGCTACAGCTGTTAGGTTTCTTACTGGTATCTAAAGACATGGAAGCAGTCCCTAGGGATGACCCTAGAGAACCATGGCTCCAAACATGGCACAATGTAACAATGGAGCCATGTATCCTGTGTTTAGAGACATCCATATCTTACACATTGCAGCCACCACGGCAGCTCACCAAAGAGATCAAAGCAGCCTTTAGTCACACACAGCACCAGTTTATCACCTGATAGTTAATGATGTTGATCTACTCTTGAGCAGGGAAAATTTCACCAAAATGTGGTACATATACCATGGTGCTTCAAACTTTCTGAGCACCTTGGCACTAGTAATCCTGGCACACTCATTGCCAGCAATGGATGTGTCACTGGGAACCCATTCTTCTGGCCTGGCATTCCTTAATGGCTGAGGATGTGTAAGCCTTTGAGTTTGATCATCATTGACCATGATTAGTTGCTGCATTTTTGTTGCAATCCCAGTGAGAATACATACATACACAGGAACAAAAAAAAAATATGACTTCAAACCCATATGTCCGCTGGGTTCCATACTAGAGTTTCACATAGGTAAAAATAAACTAAATTCAAGTCTTTTTCACTAGAGAGCCATACAAGACATAGGCTACAAAGGCACTGCCCCTGTAATGGAATTTCTGTTTTCATTGCATTGAATTGCATTGCATTGAAGAGTATCAGTACTGTATCCAGTTTATGTCTTCCCATGAAAACCTTCCAGCTCTTTCCTCTGGAACACGACATGGGGCACAGGAAGATTGAGCTCTTCCCCACTTTCGGCTGTTCTGTGTGAACAGGGTTCTTCATACATAACTTTCTTTCACTTTCTCATCCTGCAGGAAAGACGTGAGCACGGCCATATCCACCACTGTCTGGTTTTTGTGCAATGATAGGTCCTTTAAGTGGTCGTCATCACTTTGGTCCTTGGCAAAGTTCACGAATACCTGTCAACAGAAAGAGGGGGCTTTAGGAAGACTTCTCAACTTGTTCTTTCTTTAGTCTAGTTTCAGGGTTGTTTTTTTTTTCCTGTGTGGAAATTAGGTCAGGTAAGGAATTCAGAACTATATAAATAGATAGGAACACTGTGAGAAAAGAATATGTGAAAAACATCAATAGTCACTGAAAAAATGATCTCTATTACTCCCCTCAACATATCACTGCTCAATCATCTATTTGTAGCACACGTACACTTCACTAAAGGAAAGAGAAGAACACATTTACTAAGTACTTAACTGAGGGCCTGTTTTATACTTTTGGTTATCTAAGTGGAATAAGGCACCCGGTTCATAGTTGGTACTCAGTTAAGTGGTGGTTATTATAATGACTGATACTATAAATTTTCAAAAGAGCCTCATCTTTTCTTGTGTGTGTAAGTAAAGAAGTTTTGTAAAAGGCACAGCTAGTTATAATGGATGAGGAATCCAAGCACAGATCATATGAACTGCTTCCGGGGTTATGATGGGGGGAAGAATGGGGAATGAGTGGGCAGGAATCCTCACCCTGAGAAGTAAAGCTACTTTTTGCTATGTGACGCTTACTTGGTCAAGTGTTGTCTGGGAAACAGAGTAGTCTTCTATGTGGAGTCGCTTTTTGCTCTGGGAGAGGATACTGAATATCTTAGCCAGAGAAGATAATGAGGATGGAAGCTGGTACTGGAGCATGTTCCGGTGTTTCTCCTTTAGGACACTTCCTGGAAAGGCAAGTCCGAAGAATTCCTGGACAGGCTTCAGGTCAGGGTTGGCCCCTGCTATTCGTACAACTATAGTATAACCATCTCCAAATCTAAAAGTGTGGGGGGAGGGAGGAGAGAGAAACACACTTGAAATGAAGTATTTCTAGAAAACTTATCAAAAGAATACTTAACCCAGAGAATCCAACTCTGCACCAGGACAAAAGGGAGGTCCCTGACATACCCAGAAATAGATTCTGAGGAAAGGAACAACTAAGCATTTGCTGAACCCCTACTTTATGTGTGCACACTCAGCGCTTGAATGCATAATTTCATTTCATCTCTACCCGAATGCATGAGGTCTAACATGTTACACAAACCCAAAGCTGAGAGTGTTAGCCACTCACCCATGTCATGAATGGTGAGGGTCAGATCAAAACCTTATGTGTTGCCTCCAAAGCTCCTAACCATAACGTCACAAGCAAATTTTAAAACTGATTTGATCAGCACAGCTTCGAATTAATAATCCTTGGAAATCATCCTTCATTTTCACTGCTAAGCCACCATTTATGCGCTCACAAAAGAATAAACATCAAGCTTTCTCACTAGGCATTATCCCGAAGAAATTATCTTTTGTTACCTATTTTTCAGATGTTGGACACTGCCAAGGCACCTGAACCTCCCATTGACCATAATTGCCATCCTAGTGCAAAGAGCTTCACATTCTTCCATGCTGTGGGAGCAGAAAGGTTTTCGTTTTAGAGAAAGGCTCTTGTAACTATAAGAATATTATGACATCAAAACATTTAAAGAACAGATCCCCAGACACCTAAGACCATAATACCAGCTGTAGCAAAGACATGAAGCTGTCTTTGCTCCCTGCAATGTTGGTTACCATTACGGTAACCAATGAGGAACAGTCAAATAAATTAAGATATATCCTAATGAAATACCATCCAGCTATAAGAAATGAGGGCACACATATTGATTTATTTGAGATCACACTCACAATATATTGTTAGGTGAAAAAAGAAAATGTGTATTCTATGCTTATGAACACACACACGCGTATGTAGACTGACATTCGAAAAGGCTGCAAGCATATATAAGCCAATGATAATAACAGTTGTCTCCAAGGGTTACAATTTCAGATGAAACTTACTACTAACTTTTCTCTTTTGTAATTTTTACAAAATGACTATCTGCACTGGAAAATGTAAAGGACACAGGGTGAAAGAGCTAACCCAGGCTTCCACTACGCACCTGTGAGACGTCAGCACCACCGACCTCCCCTCTTTGACGATGCTCAGGGCACAATTCCATAAGAATCTTCGGGCTTTGGGATCCATACCTGTAGTTGGCTCATCCTATAAGCAGAACAAAACAAGTTTTATTATTCACTGGGAGAAATATTGGTTATAAATACTAAAAACATTTTAAGCCAGCACTGATTTTTAAGTTACCTTCTATTTTTGATGGATTTTTTTTTAACAAAAAAGAGTAAGCCTCACTCAGCTGTAACAAGGTCACTTATGTCTGATTAAAGCAGGCAGTTAAAAACTCTGAGTCACCATCCTCTTTTGCCAATAAGTATATTTTAAAAAGGCTTTTTGTCTGAAACCTCTTGGGAGATCAAGATCTAGTTTGAATAAAGTCCCTTTCCTTTATGTATTTTAGCTCCCTCCAGCTTATCCTATTATCTTGCATTTGCTAGTTTTAGTGAAGTCCCAGATCCACATGTTTGGATAACAGTGAAGCCAAGGCTTCTTGTTCAGTACTCTTCTCTACAAAAGAGATCAAGATCCCAACTAATCTGCTATTCATTTATCTGTGTATAAGGAACTATGGTTCATTTGCTACAATGGTGATTCTGAAGCTGTGTCCTCACTCTCCATCTTTTGAGAGAGGACACAGCTTTCTGACCATACACTTGGTCAGAAAGAACACTCCAAAGAAAGATCAAATCATATATCCTCTCTCAGTCCCAGTTATAGCAGGCACCAAGAAGCAGAGCACCTGGAATATCTTTGTGGGGAGCATCTGAAAATACAATAGGGACACCGCAGTGTGTGCTATCATAAAAACTTCCCTCTGTTCTTCCAAGGCTCCTCTGCCATTTCTAGTGGGCCACTCACCATTGCGACACCAATCATGCAACAACAGCCCCTGGCATACAGGACTTTTGAAAAGTGGCTTTTTCCACTCACGTCAGGACAGCAATTTTCCATCCCTACATATCTACTCACCAGAAACACCACCGGGGGGCCACCAATCAAAGCCATGGCTGTAGAAAGTTTCCTCTTGTTGCCTCCACTGTAGTTGCCAGCGTACTTCTCCCCATACTTCACGAGGCCCAGTTTCCGAATTGCCCACTCACCAACCTAGACAGATAAAGAGCACCTTGGCTTCTGTCTGGCTCATTCATTTTATCATGTTTTCTTACACTTACACACAAAAGATCTTTTCACTGAATAAGACTAGATCAGTCATGAGTTACCAAATGCTAGGAAGCCAAAAGCAGGGAGGAGGGATTCATTGGATGGGAGCACTACTCCCTCTCTGCCCCCAGCCTAAGAATGGACATCCATGACCTACCCTCCCCCACGCATCACTACGACTGACTTCCCAGCCTAAAAGCAGGTGCAAAGAGCTAGCACTTCACATTGCAGGAAGCATGGGGACATAGCCCAATGTAGACATGTGCAGAAAAGCCATAAGGTATAGTGTCAGGATGCCCAAAGAGGCGGGCTGACTTTTTGGTGTGCGTAATACCTTGCCAACTTCTTTCTCTGGGACTCCTCTCAAGAGAGCAAAGAACTCCACGTGTTCTCTCCCAGTCAGCAGCTCTGTGATGGCATCGAACTGAGGGCAGTAGCCCATGTTCTGATGTACTTCGTGGATACTTGATAAGATGCTAGAAAGGAAAATAAAGCTAGTCACACTTCCAGCATCTAGAGATATTCCAATTGGATTATCAGGACAAAATGTTCATGTAAAGTCTGCTTATGCCTAACACCAAGATAGTCATACTTATGTTGCTGTTTTAGAAGCTTTTCTGTTCCTAAGATGTCAGCTATTCCTGACTATCTGGGGTCTGACCTCTAATTATATTGACTCACCCAACACTTCAACCTGCAGGCTCAGCTCTCTATTTCAAAATGCTTGTCTCTGCTACTTGAAGCATATGATACCAACAATATGAACTATCCAGGAACTTCAACACTTAAATCTCCATCCCAGAATTGACCCTATGATTCAATTTTATATACCAAGTGCCTGTTGGCTTCAAAAAAGTCTTTGTGACCCATTTGTACCATGAGAATGTCCAAAAATTCTGGGCATAAGCACCTGCTGCTTTCTGCTCCTCATACTATATACTCATACTACTTACTACTCAACTATATACTGTGATGAGCTTGCTGCCTTCAGACCTCCCGGTCCTGAATACCCAGCCCAGACACCTTCTCAGTTCTTAAGAGGGTTTTTTGTTTGTTTGTTTTTTGTATCACAGACTCTCTGACAACAGGGTAACAACAACAACAACATCAAATATATCTACATATATTGTTTGGGTGAGTTTTAGGGTCTTGGGTAGCCAACTTGGTTATAAAAATCCTTAATAATGTGTGAGCACTTCAGCTGTACTCCAAGCCTCCTCCAGAAAGTGATGAACTTGGCCTGTTAGCAGCAGTAATTGCTGCCTGCCTTTCTATCCAGAATTCCCAAGGCCAGCCTTTTCCACACAGATTGGATACCAATGAAAACTGTGCCCAGACCTCACAGCTACACTGCCCAAGATGGTCCTTAGAACCAGTCACTTGGACAAACATTAGTTTGGACCAGTTATTACTGCCATTACAATATGTTCCTGGGAGCTAGAAACAAGCCTGGGTAAACAACACTAGTCCCAGAATGTCTGTTCTCTTAAGACTACTGTAGATCACTACAGAAAAAAAAAACAAAACATAAAACTGGGAAGGGACTGTAAGAGGAGACTTGATGAATACATAAAGTTCCTTGCTCTTCAATATTACTGGCTAACCCCAGCCAATGTTTCCAATAGCAAATCAGCTCTCATTAGTGCATTGTGAAGTCAATTTAGTAGATCATGACTAGCAATTTTATGTGGCAGTGAGTAGAATAAACTAAGAAATTATCAGAGTATAACCAGATCTTAACAATAGTATTTTATGAAACTTTTTATTAAATGATGTATATTCATGTGTCTGTGCATGCACTGCACTGAAAATGTAAGTTGCATTTCCTGCATGGGTTATGCTCAGCAAAGTTTGAAAATCACCACCTTGGACCTTTATCGACATAACAAAGCCTAGAGAAGCCCCACATGTTTTAGAGTACTTAGTATAATATTACCTAACTGGTCCCTAATGCGTGGCTGCATCCTCAAAAATAATCAGACTGCTTAGTGACCAGTACAGTTTCAGAAAATGGACTACTGTTCGCCTCATCAATCAGCAGCTTTAGTAAGGAAGGTCTGGCAAGTATATTCCCTTTTCCCTCCCAGAAATTTTCTCAGAGGAAATAATAACACCTGCACAAGGACAAATTTACATAGTGAAAAATGGAAAGGAAGAAGTCTCCAATATCTATAAAAAGAAATCAATTATACAGACATAGGGGCGTTTTAGATACATAAGATTCTGCATCTTAAAATATGTAACCCATTGGAAATAATATACTAATTAGCAATAAAAGCTAATTTTAAAACAACATACAGTATGATCTCAAATATATGATGTATTGAGATTGTAGAAAGAAAGATTTGGAATGATGTGAAAGTTCCAAAATTGAACTGTGATGATGGTTGTACAATCCTTTGGATTTACTAAAAATTGTTGAATTTATTCTTTGGAAGAATAAATTATATTTATGTAAAGTATACCTGAATAAGACTATTACACTATACTTGAATAGTAAAATGAGGCTGAAAGGAAATTTAAATAATGCTTTTTTCTAGTCAAATTAGAAGTGACTTTTACTTTAATAATTCTATTTTACTTGAATAATTCTATGATCTCTAAATAGTACTTCTATAGTCAGAAAAATAATGATGTATTTCTTCACACTTAGAAAACGAGTCATTGTAGGAAAATACAGACTACTTCTTACTCACCTGTTTTTGTTAAGAAAAGCATCACCTCTGGTTACAGTGGTGTCTCCAGTTAACATCTTGAAAGTTGATGATTTCCCAGCACCATTCACTCCCAGGAGTCCAAAGCACTGGAAAATTAAGACTAGGTTAGTTGCTTAGGTCAACAACTAAGTCTAAATATGAGTTGATCCTGTACAGTAGCCACCTAAGCTTGTTTGTTTATATGATGTGATCCTCAAAACATACTTTATGTGTTTGTATGTCAGTGCTAGGGCTTGAACTTAGAGCCTTACTTTTGCTTAGCATTTGTCCACTCAAGGCTGGTGCTATACCATTTTAAGCCACACCACTACTGGCCAGATTTCTGCTGGTGACCTGGTGATAAGAGTCTCTCAGATTTGTCTTTCCTGGCTGTCTTTGATTTATGATCCTTAGATCTCAGCCTTTACGTGAACCACCAATACCAGGCCTCAAAAATAATATTCATAAATATCAATGACAAGTCAAATATCCCCTTGGTTTCAAGACATTATAAAAATATCTAAACATGCATTTTATAATAAACCATATTTTAACTAAGTTTTTTATTGTGAAAATACTATACAGAGGGGTTACAGTTACATGAGCAAGGTAATGAATACATTTCTTATCAAGCATTGTTGCCTCCTCCTTTGAATAAACCATATTTTAGGTGGTTATATTTATAAATATTGAGTCATCAGGTTTAGACCAACATTAATATGTGGAAAACAATGATGTAAATCAACCAATCAAATTATGCTACCTCTGATTAACAGGCATGAAGGAACAAAAACAACTGAAAAAGGAGAAAAAAAAACTTAAAAGAAAGCCTATTTGAATCTCAAATAGATCACAAATATACAAATTAGATGTGCAGGCTTTCCTTAAACTGCCTGAGATTACCCAAAATTGTTCCATTTTGACATGTGGAATCCTCATCTTCTCCTAACTGACTTCTTTACACAGCCCTAAGTAGAGAGGCCTCTAAAAGCTTATGTCCCCCCTCAGCGACATTGTTGTTTGAGTAGATACAGTCTGAATTAATGGAGACAAACAAAAAACAGACAAAGTATGTTTACCTCTCCAGGAGGAATGCCAACACAAATCCTATCAACAGCTGGCTTCCTCTTCCTTCTGTATATCTGCAACAAACAAACACAAAAATCCATGCACTCCGGTGACTCCCAGCTCACCCAAACAACTGCAGAAGAGGGGACTGTAGTCCAAACACCTCATGAAATAAGACTCATGAGTAAGACTTAGTCACATTGTGGATATGGTGAGAGTACTGTCTGTAAGACACCTAGCTTCTAACAGATTCAGAAGCTCAAATGTGATATGTTGATGGGTTCACCACTAAAATTGATGTAATTTTTCATTTAGTTAACTAATATCATACATACCCTTAAATTTCCATATGATATTACACTTTTTTTTCTTGGTCCTAGGACTTGAATTCAGGGCCTTAGCACTGTCTCTTGAGTTTTTTGGCTCAAGGCTAGTGCTCGACCACTTAAGCCATAGGTCTACTTCCAGTTCAGTCTCACAGACTTTCAGGTCCAGGTTTGCTTGGAACCACAATACTTATGCCTCAGCCTCCTGAGTAGCTAGGATTACTGGTATAAGCCACCAATACATAGTTTATATGGTTATTTTTTAAAGGAATTTTGAGGTTCAAGCATTTAGAGAAGGCCGAAATAGACCTTTCTTCTGAGCAATGGAGGTATACCAGTATTCTGAACTATGAAACTCAAACTCATGCACTTAGTCTTGCGATATCACCAAAAACACAATATTAGTGTGTATATAAGTATGCGAAACAAATAAATTTGAGAATGGATATTCACATTCCCAAAGTAATTGCCAATAGTATTTCTGAAATGAAGAAATGTCAATGGTATATGTTAAATGTTAAATTGACAGAAGTTTGGTACATTTTGGAAAGCACTCCTTTCTTTTTCTGTTTTTTCTAATTTAGCAAATCATCCAAATGCTAGTTCTCAGTATAGAACACTGAAACAACTAAAGACAAGCTGTTAGAGCCCGTACTCTCAAACTCACCTTAGTTAGTTCCTTGATTTCCAAAATGTCATTCTGTCCTCCACCATCCAGGATTCTCTGTCTTTCCCGCCTTACATCATCATCCTCATCATTCAGAGGAGGGAGCTTTGCCTTCACAGGTCTTGTGGGGGAGAAATAAGAAAAAATATCAACCATCTGAATTATATTTATGACAAAAATCCAGTCTCTAAAGCAGTCTTATAAAACCTACTTGCCACACTTTCTCGGATTTGAGCAGGGCTGAGGGTTACGAATGGCCACAATAGGATAATCAGTTTGATTATTCGACTGTAACTCAATTCAACAGCCATTCACCAGTATTTCCCTGAATTTCTCCTCTGTGACCTTCAATCAGGTGTTCCACGGGAATTTAGGAAATCCTCACCTGGGCCTGATGAAGAATCTGTACTGGATCAGAACAGTAATGAGGAAAAACACCACTCCTTCCACGGCCATGGCGAAAAGGTTCCGCCCCACCAAATCCCAAGAGAGTGGTGACACAAAGCGATCTTCTCCTGGTGGACACAATGCACAGATCTGGTTAAATTACAGGCACTAGAGCACACGTCACTGCCTCAAATTAGAGGTCAAGTTCACCTATTTTCCTAAAGAAGCTAGTAACTGTTACCCATAGTGCCTATAGATGCTTATTCAATATACAACCTTTTATCAATCAGTATTTCAGAACCAACTTGTAACTTCATGCAAGATGGTTCATATTCTCTTTTCAATACGACATGCCAAACAGTCCTTTTATTTATTTATTTTTGGTAGTACTGGGGTTTGAACTCAAGGCTTAATGCTTGCTGAGCAGGTGCTCTACCACTTGAGCCACTTCCTACCCCTATTTTGCTTTAGATATTTGTCAGATAAGAGTTAATGACTTTTGTTTGCCTCAGGTTGGCCTCAGGCCATGATCTTCCTAAGTCTCCTATGCACAGGTAAGATATAATATAGGGATATGCCACCCTACCTGACTTGTTGGTTGAGAAGGAATGGGATCTCATTAACTTTTTGCTCAAACACCTCTAGCCACAATCCTCCTGACTTGTCTCTCTGATACCTAGGATTCCAAGCAAGCATCACAATGCCTGGCCTTTTAAATAAGGTAAATAATCCAGGGTAATTCTTAGTGTATGTTAATAAATTCTATGTTTCAATAATACGAAACACTAAAACACACAAAGAAGATACCTATTTTAGTAGCATATAATGTAACCTGGTGACTCAATTAAGTCATCTGGCTTTAAACAACTATCCCTTATATTCCTTATATAATCTTCTCTCAGTAAAAGAAAAGTCCCTCTTCTATATGTATTAAATAACATGGTCCATCTAACTGTAATAGCTGGTAGATAAGTAATAGTAATATAACAATAAGAGAAATGCTTTTAGCTACTCTGAAGGTAGGAATAACTGTAGTAAATTATCTTTTTATTGACTATGTAAAAGGTAATATACAACCACACGCCTGCAAGCCCACAATTTTCCTTATAGAGTGAAAGTATGCATATTTTCTTTCTATTCTCTGGCCTGTATCTAATTCCCAAGGCTGTGATTTGACCTTTCCAATGATTTGACAAACCCAGCCAATAGGCACAAGATACAAGCAAATACCAGCATTTTCCTTACTTCTTTTTTTTTTTAACTCTTATCTCAGCACTGTTTGTCAGAGAAACCCATAAATGGATATGTCATGAGACCCACGTGGGACCAGCTACATTGGCATGAGCCTTCAGAGATGAAGTGAGGCTGGACATCTTGTCTCTAGTCAAACAGAGGCCAAGGGTACGAAGGACCCTGCAAAGTGCCACCTCTGTTAAAGCCTTCTACAGCCGCTGCTTCACTCACCAAATCTTTCCAGAGCATCAGCCATTGCCTGGTTTTTCACCATGTCAATGAGCCCTCTCCCCAGGCAGAAGTGGGGGAAGATCAGGAACACAGACTTCAAGATGTCGTTGATGTTATTCAGCTTCTGTAAACAGTAAGGGAAAGGAATATTATTCACAATGTCCACTAAAGTCTTATCAAAGTCTACAACAGGAGCATGAAGAAAAACGGATTGCCTGTGGACACACTGGACCTCTGAGTTCAGAGACCAGATCTTTTCTGTTCTTTTAGGAAATGTGGATTCAGGCTGACTATGGAGAAATAAACGAACAATGGGAGCTGGGCACCGGTGGCTCACACCTGTAATCCTACCTACTCAGGAGGCTATGATCTGAGGATTGCAGTTCAAAGCCAGCCCAGGCAAGAAAGTCCTTGAAACTCTTTATCTCCAATAAACCACTAGAAAACCAGAAGTGGTTCTGTAGTTCAAGTGGTAGAGCGCTAGCCTTGAGCTGAACTGCTGAGGGACAGTGCTCAGGCCCAGAGTTTAAGCCCCATGACCAACAAAACAAACAAACAAACAATGCTTTGGAGACACGGCTACAATTAATCAGAAGACAATCCACAACAAAGTTTTTGATTAGCATTTCAAATCAAATGGCTCATGCAGGAGTCAAGTTTCAGGACTTTTCTGGAAATTTCCCAAAATAAAAGGCTTCTCAGTTACATTAGAACTTATTATGATTATTATAATTGTTATTATTTTCCACAAGAAAATGGTAGCCAAATATCCAGCACTTGAGTGAGTGGCAATATGTTGGACACATTGTGCTAGGGCATGGGAGAGGCAAAAGTTAATAAACAGACTCTACTCTGAGGAAGAGAAACATCTAGGTAGGAAATGATTACATAACTAGGTATGTGCTGTTCTAGAGGAAGAACTGACAGCTCTGAGAGCCCCAGAGATGAGAGCGAGCACATCTTATTGTGCAGGTCAGAAAAGCTTCACATTCCTACAGGCTCTGTGGGAGAAGGGCATTTCAATTCAGGCCCACAGGAGTTTGGTGGTTTTAAGGGACAATACGGCTGAAGTTTCAGGGCAAGAGGAAGAGGTGTAGCGAAAATTGGCCAGGAAGGACCTATTAAAGTACTTTTTAAAGACACTGGATGCTAACCCACGGTGTTTAGGCAGAGGCAATGACAACAGAAAACAAGAAGAATCCTTGTTTATTTGTAATTGGAATTTGTGTTATTGGAAGAACTGATGGTGTGACCAGTTGTAATGGGAAAGAAGCAACAATAAAGCATGTAGGATGACTCCAAGAGAGCCAACACAAGCAGCTATCCAGATGGCAAGGCCACTAGATCTGAGATGGCAGGAAAAATAAAACATTAGCTTCTGAAGGGAAAGATCTGTGACATCTATAAATTATGTAAATGGAACCATACACTCTAGGAGACTAGAGTTTAAGGGAACAGCCGGGACATCAATCTGTGAGACTAAAATAGGACACTAAGAGACGAGTCTATACTTCTTATTTCCTGCCTCTCTCTCCACTTCAACACTGTTAGGCTAAAATAAATCCTTCTAAAATTTTAAACAACAACAAAAATCACTGTCCAAAAAGAAATGTACTCTTTACTTATGTAACTGTGTATTCTGTACTTACATAACTATAACCCCTCTGTACATCACCTTTATAATAACAATAAAAAAATTGAAAAAAGAAAAATCAAGTTGGGTTGTCCAGAGAGGATGACTAAATTGGACAGTGAAAATGGAAAAGGATCTAGTCCTGAGCACAGCAACAAAGGAGTAGGCATTTATTTAAAAGAAATCTACGACAAGAGATGAAAGGTATGGCCGAGAAATACAAAGGCACAGCCTAAGAGAACAGAGTTGTGCAAACCCAGGAAGACAGAATCTAAAAGAAGACAGAGTGATTTGTAATTTCAATGCCACAGACAAATTGAATAAGATCAGAGTTAACCACAGTCATCCTCTGGTACGCCCTGGCAGAGCAGGAAGTACTCTTTCTACAGAACTCACGTTGTTGGTGAAGAGCTCCAGCACAAAAGTGGCCACACTGCCATTGATGCCGATGAAGAGATTCACACTGGTGAGTACTACATAGGCTGTGCTGGGGATCTTGAACACAAAGGAAGCTGGGTACATGAGAGGTGTGATGGACCACCTGGGGAGGCACAATGTTAAATGTCATTGGGAGACATCTCACCTTGGGTTTCAGATGCCTCACCCACTGTGGGATCCTGCACCCCGGGGCAGCTTACCCATATAGCAAAAGTAGAAGGGCTAACACAGGCAGGTTGGTGGAGGACACATAGGACTTCTGCTGGAAGCAGATGAAGATGATAATGACCAGTGTAGCAGGGACCACATAATTGCACTAGAAGACAGAACAAGAAAATGAAGTTGACTCCTAAGTCAAACATACAACATCTTTACCATCACTGAACAACAACAAAAAAACTAAAAGGACAATGAACTTGAAAACAAAAGAATTCACATATCTTTTGTCTCAAAATTATTTTTCTCCTTTTTTTTCAAAGAGGAATGTATGCATTACCTGAATTGTTAAATGGTAACCCTTCTATACAATACCTTAATAAAATTATATTTTAAAGAAGCAAAAATAAAGGACAGATAAACATATTAGAGAATCACTTTGGGTTAATAAAGCCACATGAACTATTCAGCAAAATGCTAGACAATACATTTTGACAAGCATTTTACCCTTGGATGGTTTTATAAACTGCATGCCCTCTCTGTCTTTCCCACAGCTAAGCCAAGGTGTCACGCTCAGTAAACTTACTGAAGGATGGATTCTCAGTCAAAGTAATTTCAATTTCACAGGAGGCAAATAAGCTTCCATTATTCTTCCCAAAGATGATTGTGTCTGTTTCATCATTAATGCTATGTGATTGTCTGCCCAAGTTCGATCGCACAAGCAATCTATTTATGAGGTAAGCACTCCTAACACAAATGACAGGACTGTTTCATCACACTGAGAATAATTTTAAAGTGTGTCTTGACAGTCCTTCAGGCATTAAAATGAGAAATAAAGACTTGACCATGAAACAATTATGAGAATTCACAGCTATAGAACAAAGCACAGGCAGGGAGGTGATAGTAGCTTGTCAGCTGGAAGAATTGCAGCTTCATACCCCAGGACTCTGCCCCATCCCCTAACTACTCAATCCTACTTAATGTGTTTATCAACAGCTTGGATGCAGACTTGATCACAGCAAACCTCAGTCTCCAAAAGGAAGGACAGATGATACATGAGAGTATAAATGATGTCCCTGAGGTCAGCGATGCAATCATTCATCTCTGAATCGACTATGGCTGGCATAGTCAAACACATAGTAAACACTCAGGCCCCTTTACATGAATCAGGTAATTACTTGATCAAAACAAAACCAAACCACAATAAATGGAAACCAAACAAGATGTGGCTTAACAGGGATAAATATAAATATAGGTTCAAAAATGCATTAGCATAGCATTAAAAAAGCCCAGTTAAACAACCTTCATAGGAAATGGAGGTTTAAGGTCATTACTGAGTTGCTAATAAGACAGTGCACCTTTTCAAATGCAATATCCTGGTGCAGAAAGAGAAGTACAAGATAAAGAAGTATATAAACTCTCTAGACATGTAGCTGTTCAGATTGCAGCCTGAACACAAGGTTAATTCTGGACTCTGCTTTTCAAAAGAGACACTAACAAGATGGAACTCAGCCATGGAAGGCCAATCAGATCAGAATAATGGCAAATCTTCAAGGTTTGTCCTAATTAGCATAGACTTCACCATCATCTTCAACAGCTCATACTTGTACAGGGCTATAAAGATCACAAAGTGCATTCTCATACATCATCTCATCAACGTAGAGGAGAGTTGTCTTTAAATATCCTATGGGTTGCACAATGGAAAAAGAATTAGACTTAAGAATTAGACTTAAGAATTAATTAGACTTATTTTGTGTGGCCTGGAATGAGTGGAAGGCATAGTTCAACATCATTTTGCAATCATTAGAACCCCAGAATTCTCAACTCCAAATGGATCAAAGACCTTGAACTCAAAGCAGACACTCTGAAAACATTACAGGATGGAATAGGAGAAACCCTAGGTCTCCTTGGC